AATACTTTTATCATTGATATCTTCTTTTCACGAGAGGAAACAACCAAGAGGATTAATTTTCTCATCGATCAGTTCTGTAGTCAAACGTTTATCAATAAATTCAATAACAACTTTCTGTTCTACAAGGTTAAACTTGGTTTTGAAAAAAAAGACTAGTGTAATTAACGATGTAATCGATGAAAAAGAATTATCTTTATCATGGATAAGTTTTTCAAAGGCAACCAATGAGAAACATATATACAACGAGTAAATACACTATTTTTTGTTCAAGAGTTGAACATTATCTTAATCATGCAATGCATTGATTGCTTCTTAACCTTAGGAATTTCAATACTTTCAAATCTTCTAAAACCTATGTATGTTAAGAAATAACAACAATTTATAAATTAATACTGCAAAGAATTGTTGAGTTTAGCTACAGTTTACCTAATATTCTTCTTGAAACAGATCAAAAAAGTATTGTTCTGTGAAATACCGGTCCTCTTACTAAAAACAAAATCCTGTATTTCGTCTTGCTTGGAGAGGCTTGAGCAATTTCAGCAATATTTTAATACATAATAAAAAATGTACAATCAATGGATAAGAAATCAATAAACATTTGGTTAACATGGATTGAAATGAAATGTGAATCATAAGCTTTATCAAAATCATTAGTAATGATATGTATCTATGTATTTCGGTGGACATCTCGTGCTTCCTTTTTCTTTTCTTCTCTATTACACTTTCGCCTTTCTATTCTCTGTACTTATCTTTTGGTATGTATAGATTGTATGTGTATTGTTGTTTATAATGGGAAAGAAATACACGAAGCAAAAGTTAGATCTGATCAAAAAAGGAATTGATCAATATTCTTTCTCACCGAAATAAATATGAACGAATGGAAATCAGCAATGTATGGACTTGTGTTAAGATACTCTCTCGTTGTAAGATTTGGATTTCTCACTCATTTTCATAAAAACTTCTAATTCATCATCATTTATTTCAATCAATAGAAAAAAAGCAATTTTTCAATGAATCATTTCTTCGGAGGAAATTCAAGCATTGAAAAATACAATTAATACACTGAATGAATCCGTTTATATTTATCTATTGCAACGCATTTTCCACTGTTGCAACTGACTGATGGTGGCATTACCATAGAACAAATTGAAACGATGTCATTTTCTCGATTATACATAGTTTCAAGAGATCGTGTTTGACTGGCAAGCCACTTGATCTTACGTACACTATCAGCCTTAGCAGTTGAATATACTATATATCCGTTTGGACCACCACATGCTCTTTTTCCAGTTGCTTCAGCTGCACATTGTTTGCTCGAAGTACATCGATTCGATGTTTCAACTTCAGCTTTAAGATTTTTATAAGTAGTTTCTATTCTGTTCCAAGTCGCTTGGGATCCGATGATGCCAACCAAAATATCTGTTAATGATATGAAAACTTGATTATAGATAGTTCTACATTCCTATAACTGTGTACTTACTAAATGCTAAAAGTAAACGAAGATAGCATTGCATATTTGTGTTTTGTCCGATGATGTGTTAAAGAAGAGAAAAAGAAATAAAGAGAATAAGATTCTCGCATTGCTTATAAAGAGTGCCAAGCTGTGGGAGTATTCCCTTGTTTTTTTTTTGTTCTGAATCATGTATAGCACAAGAAGATCAAGTTATAATACATGGGAAACAGTCCCATATAGAACATCGAATTGCAACAGTCATCCTTAATTTACTTTCTATCGAAAGGAATCTTAAAATAGTAAAATTCATAACAAAATTTTCGCCATGTTCCTTTGTAATACAATCAATCAACTATTGACAATTTTTGGTTAATTACGAAGTTTTATTGACATATCAACAGAACAAACACAATTTGTGATTCAATATTTGTGCAATCGATTGAATTTATTTTTAATTTATTTTCCTTGAAAAAAAAATTGTATAGAACAGTGTTCCAATGTCAACTTTCAAAGAGAAAACACTATTTTTGAGTTTAAGCACTAATATACAGCTTGCGAACACATTTTCTTTTATGCGTTCGGACACATTTAGTTTTCATGGATTCATACGTCTTTTTTTTTATTGAAAAAAAGAGTTTTTTTTGCAGACAAACTAAATAAGTGTTTACATTCGTATTTTGAGTAAAAATGCCATTTCATGAAGTGAAGTCTGCTATCGTTTAGGCAAACATTTTGCAATTCCAGACTCAATAATATATGTAGTAGCATGTATTTTAATATTACGAAATAGAGAAATACTTGCGTAATAAAACTAGCACAAATACAACTGAAGTAGAACAAGTTTAACCTGACTAAAAAAATTTCTTGGTCAAGTTTTAAAAGCTATAGATAAAATAATGACAGGTTAATAACTCAGTTAAATTTTCTCCGTACGACGATTTGGCATAAGGTGGATCTGGATGTTTTGTAGAATAAACCTGCTGAAAGAATAATATATTTGGAATAGATTGAGTATGATATAGTTATTCGATGTTATATCGCAGAATTTATAATAGAGATCTTTTAATGACGTATTAATGAAAAGGAAGTCCTGAATAAAAAAATAGTGAACCGAATAAGGATTCGAACCTTTGATGTATGAACTGAGAAGTCATCGCTTTAAACACTAAACTATCTGGTGTCGTTAGTTAGTTGTAAAAATATTAGAACAGTGATTATCGATATAAATCGATCATGCTATGTTTAGAATGTATCCGTTGTCTGTAATGGAGAGGCAGAAGGGAACACAGTCATGTTCACCCTGAGCAATGTAAACACTTTCGAGTAGCACATTAGCACATGAAAAGGCCAGGCTATTATAATTGTGAGCGAAGTGCAGTCTTCACCTTCATAAATATTTTTTAGAACGTAGATTGTCACTCTTATTATCTTGTTTTGAAAGTGGTGTGGTAGAAAAAAGAGAAAATATTAAAAAAACGTTTTGCACTATATAAGACAAAAGACACTGCACCAGTCAATCTAACGTGTAGTTATTGTTAACAGAACGAGAGACATCTTCTTGCGACCCGATAACAATCAATATTGCTGAAGAAATGAAACAAAGGCAATAAATGTCAGCATAATAAGAGGGATGCACATGAAAAGAATCACAAATTTCTGTGTTCGAATGCATCCTTCACGATACGGGTTATTAGTGTAAAAAGACATTTTTCTTTATAAAACTCTTTTTTTTCTATTTGTTTATCTATAATAATTATTTTATCATATTTACACCATTGTATTGCACATTTCTTACTAATTTCTTTGTCGAAAATATCTAAAAGTTTCCGATGAGATATATGGTAATCAGTACAATACAAGTCAAAGTATAGTCAACATGCTAATACTTCTTTTATTGGTTTATACTTTACCTTTGTTTTTTACAGCATAATGGAGCACTTGAATATGCTAAATATACTTCAACGATTACTGCTCTGATAACGGCATATGTTTACTGAAATCTTTAGAAATTTTGGCAAAGAAGTTACTGTGAGAAAAGCAATAGGATGGTGTGCATATGTAAACATAATTAATATGAATGAATAGAAAAAGGTATTCACAAGAGAAAAAAAACGAAAATATGACTTTTGATAATCTTTTCAGACGTGAATCTGAACAGTCCATATAATCACAATTGCAATCAAACTAGAGGCGACAACTTTTCACTGAACATTTTTTCTATTCACGTATTTGAATTTTTTGTTTGAGAAAACTTAACATTTCTGATATATGCAGGTATGTATCATGTTTCTTTTTGAGTGTCATCGATCAGACAGACCGATAACTTTGAAGATTGCAAAAGAACAACTGAGATTTATGCACAAGAACTTTTTAATTTACAAGTAGAGAAAAGCAGTAATTCCAATAAGAATATTTATCTAATGAAAAGTCTAGTTTTTCAATTCAATTTCATTATGACACTATATGTTCGTCAATTAGAAATAAGAGACGTAAAAAGAAAAGAGGAATAGAGTAAATATTTTTACAATGCATCAAATTGATACTTAAAGAAACAGAATATACTATGCGATATATTTAGAGAAAAAATAAATGAAAACGATTGTTATCAGTATCAGTTGTAAATCGTGTTTCGAGAGAACGAAGAATCATGTATGGTAAAGTGCATTTATTCGCCCAATGAATAAATTATAAGAATATTCGAGTTTTTATTGCAAACAAACCAACCAACATTCCTCAATGATCTATACAAGAAGTTAATGACAAAAACAAAAGAAACTGGGTTAGAATTTGAGTAAAGTATTATGATGGTGGTAAATACAAACATGTATTACTTTTTTCTTTTCAAAAACAACTTCTTTGAATGGATTAAAAATGGTATAAACAATAATACTCTAACAATGTCTCACAAGAAATTATGTTAAGAAATTATAATAAACATTGTATGGGTAATAGTTGTGTGAAAAAACTTAACTGAATTGTTATACCTTGGTATCGGTTTTTTTCTCTAACTTTCCTAGCTTGCTCAAAAGACTTTTTTTTGTGACCAAGGTAAATTTATTTTATTCACTTGCGCTTGTCGAAGTTTGTTGTACACATATTTCTTTCGTTATAGTCAAACACCTTCTTCTGTACTGTAGTTATTAAATTTATCTCTAATTTAGTCTTATTTAAACGCTATATTTTTGAACATGATATTACGAAATGTTTATCTACGCGTCAGCAGTTTTTTTATTTTATAAATAACCTATTTTTAGTCAACATACGAATCCAAATATTTGTTTAACTTATCTGTGAAATAAAATATGTTTCTAGAAACCATGTATTGTAAAGACAGCGTTCTAACGTATGTGTAAAAAATTCCTTTTCTTCAGCAATCGATCATAAATGAATTTCTAGCACAAAAGAAAAACATTCGGCAGTATTCAAATTTGAGAAAATAGGAAATTTTCAAAATTCCATATAATTCTAAGCGCATTGAGATTTAAATTTTTTTTTATTATGTAATTTTCACAGATTCTAAATTTTTCAACAATTCGAAATGATCATATAGCTTTTCTGACCATCATGATGACTTTTTAAAAACTTCAGAGATTTTATTTAATAACTTCTGTTTTGAAAAATCTGTCAATACCTCGAAAAACTTTTTTTTTCCGATGACTATTACTTCTATTTTAGAATAATTTCTGTAGGAACTGCATCTTAAAATTATCAGCTGGAACGAAAAAAGACTAAGTTCGATTGATCATTCATACTGCACGTCTCTATTCGTTGGAAGGAATAAAATGGTATGCAAATTATTGAATAGGTAAGTCACATTGACTTTAGAGAAATCAATAGATGCAAACTTTTGACTATTTGGTTTCAGACTGCGGACTCTATTCAAAATTGGGAATAATGAAGAAAATGATGTTAACACAATTGAAAATCATGAACCAGATGAACATAGTAAACTTTTTATTGGTTTCAAACAAATTGTAAGATGCACTCTATACTTTACGAATCCAACTATTGTTGGATGAAAATTCTCTCGAAAAGTTTGAGACATAATAGATCCTTTGGCTTTGAAGTAGTCGAGGTCCAGAATTTTCTTTGTATGCAAGGCATTGTTTTGTAACATATTACTGTGAAAAGTAGTAACACATATTATGTTCTCTAAAACTGAAGTTTTTATTAAGCTAATAATTCGTCTTTTTTTATGAACCACAATTGAAAATGAGTATTGAAGTATATAGCAAGAAAAGTAAGCCATCAACCAGCTTCACAAACCTCGACGAACATGTCGATACGTGTATTATAGTATGTGATACTAAAAAGAAAGGACTTTTCACCGTGCTGGTCTTAGTCCGTCAACCAACTGCAATACACATAGTGAAATCTCTCCATTATGGTTAAAGTAACTCTGTCGTATTTCACATTTCAATCCTATTGATATTGTATTGAAAACTGTTTTAATATGAATTACGTAACTGAAAAGACAACGTTTGATTCTCATTACAATTTGCGAAAATGAATTCGAGAAAAGTTGTTAAGAAAGTTTCAGATCTGTTGAAAAAGTTCATGAGCAAGAATAATTATCGTTGTCAACACTTCTTTTTTATTCACCCAAAGTTACTTAGTAATTGATTGAATATAAAAAGTATGTGTACTCAGCTGCAATCGGGGTTAAAATATCGAAGTCATTTAACAATGATCGAATGCAATTATTTAAGAAAAAAGAATCGATCGTGTGCGTCTGATTCATTTCATAGTTATTCTTATATTCAAGTCCCAATTTACTCCATAAGTAGTAGCCCTCTCTTGAATCATCTTTAAGAACATTTTCTGTTTCGATTTATCGTAACAAATACGCTTAATCGAATATTATTGACATCTCACTCTGTTTCAATAAAATTAACTAATAAGTTTCTCGTTGAAAGTTACGGTTCGGCAATCGTTTGGACTATGCAATATTAATTTTGGGTGCTTGTGGAGCAGCGCTATATGCCGTCGGTCATCTCTTCTTTGTTTTACTCTTTGGACAATTGATCGATCTCTTTGTTACATACACGATATCGACTTCATGTGTTGATGATAATACGATTATGTGTAGTTTTGACAACTTGACCTCCAACAATAATCATTTGAATGCGAGGTATGATAGATAATTTTCTCGTCTTATATTCTCCACTCTATCCAAAAGAGAAACGTCTTCTGTCTTATTAATATCACTTGAAATAATTTTCGGTTAAAATGTATGCTTATTCCTTTATTCTCTTCTTCGGCATAGGCTAACATTGATATTCAAAGGTTATTTGAGTGAGAGAACCATTAGTAGAAAGTATTCGTTCTGGGACAAATTATTGGAAAACTTCTTACATTCCATGTGACAGTGCTTTAGGTTTTGAGAAGCTCATAAGAGAACATAGTTTTTTTTATTCATTTGCCAACATTAATTCAAATATCTTATTTGAAATTTTTTTCGAGTAACCTACATACTTTAAAGAGTTCACTCGTTTTTTCCAGCCTTTGTCAAAACGTCAACGAAACAAATAGGAATTCGACTCTCAATTTGTCGTTACATGATGCTGTTCATAGAAAAGTGATTTATCTTGTCAGTGAGTATGAATGTGTAATCTGTGTTTGTTATTTATAATGATCTTCTCATCGAATAAAGTAATTGGCATAATACAATGCTTGGTTTCCTACTTTCAATATGTTGTCTTCGAGTTGGCATCTAATAGAATGACAAATCGTATGAGAATAGATATTTTCAAAGCTACACTTAGCCAGGTATGTCATTTTCTTGCATTTCATCTACAGAGAATTTATGCAGACTACAACACAATTTGTAGATTGGCGATGAAGCATTCTATATATCATTTGTCAATCGATTTGATACTCTATGTGTCATCATAAAAATTCGATGAGGTTTTAGAATTTATCTCTATTCACGTGCTTGTTGGAATTATGATTATTTTTGATGATTTCTTTAAGTCCCTTCGAGACTCTATCTCATCTCAACAAAGTAAAGTTTTCGCTAAATCTTCGAATTTCCTTTTATCATATAGTTTTATAGATTAGAGTGCTCATCTTTGTGGAAAGTCAACATCATCATCTAATTCTTAACGATATTTTAGGAGTTCTAGTATCCTGTAGATGACATTTAGAAAATGATAAAATATTATTCCCGCACTTATGGTGAATCGATTTACATCAACTTAGAAGAAAGATGTGAAACCTATATGCTATTGAGTTTCAAAAAAAAGCATGAAACAGTGAAAAGTAACAAGTCTTTCGCACCCTACTTTTTTCCGAATACAGAATTTTGATTGGATGAAACCTTGCTGATAATTCTTCCTGCTCATAACTAACATTCAAAAAAAAAATCTTCCACTTCATCATTTCTCAAGAAGCCAAAATTAATTCCTAGGATTTCAGCCTGGCTTTTTTTCTGCTAAATAGGTTTTATGATTAGTAGAATTTCCTAACAAGTGAGACCTTTCGTCATGATAGTTTTTTAGCTGCCAGCCCTAAACAAGTGCAACAAACTGATGAGGTAAAGATTCTTTCGTTTGCATTGCAATTATTTTTTTCTCCAGAAGGCGTCATCCCAGACGAAAAACTTCTATTACCCAGTGCTGTCTATAAGACGCCTTAAACAAATGTTGACCCATTCTTTTACCCAAAAAAAAAGTACTTCCAAAGTTTCATACTTTCTGAAAAGTTTTAAAGTCGAGTGAGCCTATAAAAGTCAGTTTGTCTATGGCATACAGACTCATCGCAGCATGTAGTCCATCGTGTTTTGCCGAGAAACTAAAACTTCTCAATCACTAGCATCGATCTTCGTAGACATTTAGGATTTTTTGTTAAATACTATTGAACGAACACCCACCCCAACCCATAGTTTTTTGGAAGCTGATCTGAAATGCAAACATATGAGTGTATTAAAAAGAAATCCGACAGACGAATAAAAATTGAACTAAAAGAAGGCGGCATTTTAATAAAATTCATGCTTATTTTTCAGAATCATTAATATAATATTCTAACTCACATTGGAAATAAATACAATTCACCAGCGTTTTTTTTAGCAAAACAGATATTGATTGAAGGAAAATGTAGAGCTTGCAAGTGTTTTCTAGTAGAATGCGATCAAACTTTAGATGGAATAGGAGAGTGAAAAATTGAATCGCTAAAGAGGCAACGTGCAACAGGCCGATCTGACGGCGAACTAGCAACAGGATGACACTTCTATGTTTGACCTGATGTGAAATTTAAATTTCCGAGAAACTCAGATTTCGTCTTACGAACCCCACTAATGCAAAGGGCCATATAGCTCGTAAAGTTTGTATCAGCCGTAGTGCTCGACTTCTTAGAAACCTAAATTTCACATAATCTCCTGTATTCATACGTTTCCAACTATTCACAAAATATACAGTTCAGAAAGAGGTTTCAGTACTATGAAACTATGTCGGTATATATGATATCGATATGAAAGAATTATGATTGACAATCAATATAATTAGCGCTTTTCTCATTATTTAGACTATCTCATATTTTAATACGACGAAAACATCAATCAACGATCTGCTTGAGTAAGTCTTTTTTTTTCTTATATCACGAAAAGTTTTCAAGCGAGACTAATTCAAAAGATCGTATACTATGTACTTAAGTTTTCTTGACTTCGTTCGGGTATCGTTCGAGGATGTCAAAATCGATATAGTCGATTCTAACAGATGATTTTTTTTGTTTTTCTTTTAATAGGAAGGTGGATCTAATACAAACAGGCATTGGATGGTCAAGTTCAGTCGTATTTTCTGCTTCGGTGTTCTTCATCGGAGCTCTCATTCTTGCATTTGTTACCGATTGGAAACTAACATTGATCGTGTTTATTGCACAACCACTCAGTGCACTTGCGTCGATTCTACTATCGAAGGCAAGTTCATTAGAAATCTGTTTCTTCTTCTCATCAATTCAATTGCAACTATTCAAATCATTATTATATCAAAATTCATACATGAATACGTTTTACTAGAAAGAATTTGGAATAAAAGTTATGATTTGTTTTCTTTGACCAATAGATTCTCGAGATATCATCATCATAAGATTATTTTCCATATGGTACTCTCACAAAGTGTTGATTGAAGGGATTTTGATTTTTTGAAGTTTTGCGTAGGAAGAGAAAAAGTCTATATTTTTGTAGATATTTATATTTTCTTAAAAATGAAATAGAAACTAAATTCTAGGGTATGACTTTTGAGTGCTTAAAACATATTGAACTAAAGCACTTGACTTCTAATGTATCATTCGTTAGATTGAATGATTCAGTAAGATGGTTTACTTTGTAGTCTTATGTTTTCCTCGTAGATGGGGCCGTAGACTACCTGACTTTCAAATGATCAGGAGTTTTTTAATTGATTTGACATCTCGAAGTCAAAAGCCTTTTTTTCTGTCTCATAATATAGTAAACTAGCCGTGGTTACAGATGATGACAGACATTTTAAATGTTCCCTATTTTAATCCCGGAGGAATTGAGTTAAAAGGTTTTTTGTTGTTTCAAAGCTAAAACAATTGAGTAGGAAAGACCACGGAAACTGTCAAGAAGTGCAAATGTGTTTTTTTTCATATCATATTTTAGTTCTTCGAGCGCTATTCATTTTCTCCTCAGACAATGTCAATGGATTTGTTTGAATAAATTCACTTCAGATAGCTTGTCAACAAATTGAACGATTTTATAAACATCGACTAAATTATCTGGCAAGAAAGGGATGGCATTTCAAGAACTAAAATATGACGTGGAAAACCATTCGTTTACATTTCTTATAAAAAGTTTCCGTAATTTTTGTACAGCATTGTTTCAATTTTTAGATAACAAAAGAAAAACTACTGAATTATAAAAGCCTTGTAGAGAACTTTAGGAATCATCTTTTAGTTCGAAACAATAGATGAAGCCTGAGAATATATTTAAAAGTATTGGATAATCGATAATTGGCTGAACTATCCAATATTGGACTGAAAAAATAAAACTTCTATTTCTTATACCATGACATAATTCGAATATCTACATAAAAAATACTCAAGATAAAATTTCTCTCATTAAAAATCCGAGGAATCTAGTTTTTTTTTAAATGATTTTGTAATTTTCAATTCCAGTTAATGGCTAAAGCAAATATTAAAGAAATGAAATCTTATGGACAAGCAGGAAAAGTTGCTGAGGAAGTATTCGCTGCTTTTCGAACTGTATTGGCATTCAATGCACAAACCAGTGAGCAGACACGGTAAGTCATTGTAGTAAATTATCAGAATATTAACCTAGAAATGGGTAAAATTTGATAAAAATCAGCATTATAAGTTCATTATCCATGCTTCTAATACTTTTTGAAATGAGAAATCGTCCTAATTACAAGGTAAGTTTTGTATACAATGAAATAATCATAGTGCAAGTTTTCTACCATGAATTTTGAAAGTTAGATTCAATAGGAGTACTAACTAACAATATTTATCTTTCATATATATGTACGGCATTCGACGGAAGACATTTTTTGAGATATATTAACGATGAAAAACCAAAAGTAAAAAAAAATAGTTTTGATCTTCACATTTTGAAAGATGAGATTATCCTTTTTTAGGCTTTTGAATAGCGACAAAGTTTTTAGTGATGATCCGAAAAGTATAGTTTTAGCGTGAGTTCTTCTTCATAGAAAGCTCGTTTAGCTCCTAGATTGCCGGCAAAGTTTCATATTCAAACTATAACATTCGGATTATCTCGAAATACCCATCAATATTCAAAGACCTAATAAAATTGCTAAAACTGAGGAGCCAATCAAACATATTTCCATTTTCAATGAATTTTAGCGTTGAACCGTATACATTCGAATTCGTTTGAAACTTCTTTTCATTGAAATCCTATAGATACGCATCGAAGCTTAAAGGTACCGCCAGGTACGCAGTTCGCAAAGGATTGATTTATGGATTTTATATTGGACTATTGTCGACGATTGCTTATTGGACGACAGCGCTTGGTCTTCTCTCAGGAGCATGGCTTATCAATAGTGGAAAACATTCGACACTCAATATTGGTAAAATTGTTGTCGTAAGTTATCCTACTTTACATCAATACTGATCTGTTAATAGTTATTTGATTATTGATATCAATATATTTTTTGCAGGTTGTCACAGTCATTACTGAGGGCACGCTATTTCTTGGCTCTCTTGCTCCATGCTTGAAAGATTTTGCTGATGCATGTGCTCTCATTTTGCCAATAGTAGAACACATAGACGAAGCTGAGGTGATTATATTTTCCTCTCTTAACACCTTCAATTTCATATTCAATTTTATTCGAAAGTTTGGTTGCATTAAGAAGAAAATAGAAACCCAGAAAATCAGATTACTCATACAATTCTCTTGTTGTTTTAGCTCTCAAATTATCCCTAAATTTCAAAAATAATATATAAAAATATTTATGATTAAACTGCTAGTTGAAATATGTATTGTTTGACTTTCGAGTATGATAAATACTTGATTTTTATTGTCTCCTATTTGCGAGTGATTGAGCATTGATTTGAAATATCATTCTTTCTTAGATCCATGTCAACAAACTGACGAGACAAAAACTATCTGTTAATGAAAACACAATGAAACTAACACCCGGTCATCCAATAGAAGTCACTTTTGACAATGTCTCATTTTCATATCCAAGTCGAAAAGAAAAACTTGTATTAAATAACGTATCATTTACAATTAATGCTGGTAAAACGGTAGCACTTGTAGGAAGTTCAGGAAGTGGTAAGATTAAGGATTCATTCATGTTCACCGACATATTTTTATACAACAAAAACAGGTAAAAGTACATGCACTCAGCTATTGCTTCGTTTCTACGAATTAACTAATGGTCATATTAAAATCAATGATCGTAATATTGACGAATTTGATATTTATGATTATAATCAAGCTATAGGAGTTGTCAGTCAAGAAGCAGTAATATATTCTCATTAATGTCATATGTTCAAAAGTTGCAAAAATTTTTATTTGTAAACATAGGTATTATTTGCAACTTCAATTCAAGATAATATTCGTTTTGGTAAAAAAAATGCAACACAAGACGATGTTATTGAAGCAGCCAAACAAGCTCATGCTCATGATTTCATCATGAAATTACCTGAAGTAATGATAATTATCATTAGTAATTTCTAAATTTTTATGCAAATAAACATTCATTTTATTTTCTTTCTGCAAGGGATATAATACAATGGTTGGTGAACGAGGTGTAAAGTTAAGTGGTGGTCAACGACAACGTATCGCTTTAGCACGTGCTCTTATTCGTCAACCGAACTTACTTATTCTTGATGAAGCAACGAGTGCACTTGATTCTTCAAGTGAAAAAATTGTACAACAAGCACTCGAACGAGCTTCCAAAGGTCATACATTTGTTATTATTTTATTTTTTCCAAGAAATAAACAACCAATTTTTATGCATGTAATATAGGTCGAACTACCATCGTTATAGCTCATCGACTTTCAACTATACGTCATGCTGATTGGATAGTAGTCATGAAAGATGGTGCGGTTATAGAACAAGGTTCACATGATGATCTCATTGCTGCGAATCATATGTATAGTGATCTCTTCAAAAACTATCAAAGTGGAACCATCAATGTTGAATCGTCAGAAATAGTCAATATGCAAGAATCCGACGATGTCTCAAGTGAAAGCATCCGTGATCAAGAGTTAGATAGTAAATTAAAACCATGCTACTGCTTTTTTTTCGCTATATGTTGAAGGACACTTGTGAACCGAAGACCCACACTCTCGATATTCCAGAATAAAGGAATAGCAATCCCTTACAACTAATACCTTTAAAACAAATAATTGACAAATTAAAATCTTTTTCTTTAGGCATTCAAATGAAGGAAAAAGAAAAAAATGAAATAACATTGGAGAAAGAAACAACAGAATTTATGATCGATGAGGTATATCAGAGCTTTCATCTTATATCATCATAAGTAATAAATCAATTCTATTGAGCAGTCATCTGCTGGTTCATTTCGTTCGTTGATCAATTTATTGAAGCTCAACAGTCCTGAATGGCCTTACTTACTTATTGCTAGCCTGTTTACGATAGCCATATGTGCTGCTAGTCCGGTATATTCTGTATCTCTAGCGCAAGCTATCGACGTGAGTCATGAATAAAGAAAACTATTCTCTGATTTTGTTTTTTGAACATTGATAATAATTCTTTTTTTGTTTATAGGGATTTAATGAATGTACTGTTTCTGCACAAATGAAGAAAGTATACATTTTCACATCTATCATGTTTGCCTTAGGTATTGCTATCGTTATATTCACAATTATCGCGGTAAGATTTCATGATGGATATGCATTAAAATCATCTCATTCAAACATTTTTATTTTGTGAAGTTTCATTCGAAGTGCCAATCAGTCCTTGCTATACTGAACCCGATTTTGCACACCCTCACTGAGTCTATAAAAAGTAGTAAATTCGTAAACTCGAGATAATATCCATCGATTCGAAGCGCTTTTTTTTCGACCTACACTTGGGCGAGAAGAATCGCAAAAATATTATGGATTCATATGTCTTGAATTAAATGACAATTGAACGGGAAGCGATAAAGACATAAACAAGATTTCCACAGAAGCTGAATGAAATTTAAAAATGCCGATTTAATTAATAATATATAGATGTTCTGCTAAAAAAATGTTTCTTTTTGTTCTGTATCGTTTATATAGCAAGGTTGCTTGGCGGTGGCTGGTGCACGTTTGACCAATCGATTACGTATCAAAGCATTTGGATGTATGTTGCGACAAGAAGTCGGTTGGTTTGATGAAACTGAAAATAGTGTCGGTTCGTTGTGTTCACGTCTTTCTACAGATGCGCTTGAAATTCAAAAAGTACGTGTACGAATATGGTCCTCAATTTCTACTGTAATACTTAAAAAATTTTCATCGAAACTTATGCTCATATGAGCAGATTATGTTTTATATCAAACTCTGATTCATTTTTTTTTCTATTAAATAACGGACTAAGAAAGACAATATTATTTCAACTGAGTGAATGCTTTCCTTTCTAGTTTTGTAATCGAAACTTAAGAGTGATGTGTAGCTTCAATCCTTACTAGATGATACTTTACATGAAAATCATTCATCAGTCATTATAAAATCAATACTTTTTTCTATTCTATGAATTTGTTGTCAATCTGCATACCTCATTCGAAGTTCATAATTATGAAATGGAGAATAACTTGTGGTGTTCCACTCTAATGAACATACTTCTAGTTTTCATGTTTCTCGAAATAAATATTTCTGAAAAATAAAGCTTTCAGTACAAACTCTATAGGATTCAAATGTGAAAAACGATGGAATCACTTTAACTATTATAGAGAGTCCTCGCTATATCTATCGAAGTAGATCGACAGATCAAGACCACGGCGTGGAAAACTCCTTACCAATATGTTGAAATATCTGTCATAGTCTGTAGTGTTCGCGGGGAGAGAGAAGGAACAACTTTCTTGCTATGCACTTCAATTCTCATTTCCAAGCGTCTTTCACACAAAGCTACATATATCCCCTTCTTGTGTAACATATTACATTCCATTGAAATTATGATTTTTTCGAAAAACTTCGGAAAGAAGAGAAATAATCTTAGGTAGATAGTGCATGCGATTTAGCCGTCAAAATCGTTCTATCCGGAACCTTAACGAATCGTTACGGCATCTGAATAGGAACAGAAAACTGTGGTTACATAGGACTCTATTGGAAGTGCGTGCAAACCCAGTTGACTATTTCTCCAACTTCCTTTAAAAAACTTTTCAATTTCAAATAATAATACTTTTTTCAAGTGCAACTGAAAACATTGATATATCGATAGTTATATAATTTTGATTCTTAAACAAAGAAATTTTCTAGTTAACAGGAGTTCGACTTGGTCTAATCATTCAAGCGGTTTCACTTTTGATAATTGCTCTTATACTTGGAGCAATTTTTTCATGGCAATTAACATTGGTCGTTTATGGTTTACTCTCTATTGTATTAATCAATGTTATACTCAACATTCGACGAAACATTCAATTAGCAATATTGATTCAAGAATTGGTATCGCAGTACAGTGATTTAGTGACACAGAGTGTACATAATATTCGTACTGTATTTCAACTTAATAGACAACATGAGACATTGAAATCATTTGAATATATCATTGAACGAAAGTACAGGTGAGAGATCCGAAAAAAATCCAATACTCAATGAACTATTAAAAAGACTCTATCAAAGAATGAAGGTTACACTTATGGAAATCTTTCAGTGATTTATTCTTTCCACAGGTTCAAATATGAAATACTGCTAGGAGGACACGTAACGAATTCTAATGATAAACTTATCATTATGAAGATTTTAGGTGAAAATATTTTCTGAATTTCAATTGGCCAATGAGCCAAACAGATATTTGATTACAACGGCACACTAAAAATTTAACATTCAAATGTTAATTGAGAAATTTTGATTGATCGTCCTATACGAGAAATTATTTCATATTCATTGTATTCAAATTCTTTTCTAGATTAGCAGTACCAAGTATACTCAAAAGTGGTGTAGCGTTTGCATTGTCATTTCCTATTATTACATTCATTTTGCCTTCACTCGGTGCACTTGCTGTTGTACTTCTTGAACAAGATCTTATTGACCCACAGCGTATTATTTTGTAAGTTATGTCGTACATATTCAATTATCAAAAAATTGACTTTCAGCTTCTAATCTTTTTGAGAATAACAAGTTACTTGTATAAAAATTTTTGAACAATATTTTCTAATGAGAAATCATATAATTTTCGAAAATTTAAGCCATGTATTTTCATACATTATAGGTTATTTGCTTTTATACCGTTGGCGCTTGATGTGATACAAATATTCACTATCGTGTATGTACTAAATGAATTCACTTATAGCTGCTACTCATCATATTGCATGATAATAACTCATTACTGACACTATAAATAATTAATACTCGTCAAACAAAATGAAATGACTGTAAACAAACTTGTGATTTTCATAGATTCTATTGATAAGTTTACAGATCAATGACTTTCCACAAGTTTCACTTTTTTATGTCTCTAAGTTTGAATATCTCGTCAATACTGTTTTTGTTTAGTTCAACAGTTTATAATTCAGTGATTATAATAATACTATCAAATTATTGCATAGTTGCAGTTGAATTTTAGGATGAACATCGGACAGATTTATTTAGCTTGGGAAATGTCTAACTAATATTTTTTCCTTGATAGTATATTACTTGAACTGATTTGATAATGTCACGGTCTGTAGAAAGAGGAGGGAGTGGATCCAAATTTCTACGCTATATACTTCAACACTCCTTTCAGATCGTGTCTTACAAAAGAATAATACAGAACTATCAATAACTTAGATTCGATCTATGTAAAAGAACTGATACGAAAAATTGATTCTAAATCGATTTCATAATCATAAAGAAATCACTTATAATCAATATAAAGCAAACAAAACTGGACCAGAAATTTTACTGCTTATAATCGTGCAAAATTGATTAAAAATTTTTTAGACGAAAAGAAATTTTCGACATAGTTCTCTGGCCAAGTGTAATAGACATAGTAGGATTTCTATATAGTGTTTCAAATTTCAATTTCACATGAATTGCATTAAAAGCTTTTTTGCGATTCTAATGATTTCTTTCTATTTCTCTGAGAAGAGCAATTATTTTAGTCTTGCTAAGTAGAGATATTTGCCTCTATATCTCCTTCATGACTTAAAACAACTTTAGTAGTATGGGTGAGACTGGGCATGATTGTGCGTGCATGAGGTTTGACTAAGCGAAGATCCACATTCACACCCTTTCATTATTCAGGCATCCTATGGTCTTTTTCAATTTTTATCATGCTGCTATTGATGCTTTTCTGTTTTCAGTTCATTTTTCCTTGTTTTGATTTTATGCTCACACTCTTTTCTTTGTCGCTCGGCATCGAAACATGCCATCTTCTTTCCGTTTATCTCTCTCAAGTCTACTACAGTATTTAGTCGAATCTCATGTTGGTCTAGGATGGCCCAGAATGCTCTAAAAGCAGGTCTACCTTCATCTTTTCCGTGTTTATGCTATTGGGAATCAAAATTTAAAGTTCATATTGAATTAGTTTCTTTGATTTATTTTTGAATCAGTCTAATCGCTCGGTTGATATAAAAATTAGCAGAACAGCAGTAACACTTAACCGAATTTAGAAAGCTACAGATAGGATATGGCGTGGACTAGAAGGAAAGCTTTTTAGTAATCTTTAGTTTTTCGCGCTTTTTGTTAACTAATAAATATGATTAGTGGCTGTAAGGAGAAGCAGAAAGTTGACATGAGCATTCATTTTTTGTTCTCTAAAAATCTCAATTGTTGTTCTTGAAAATTTCACGATTAGAGTTGCCAAGAGTTTTTATTGATTCAAAGACAACAGACATTCCAATGAACAATACATTCTCTAGTAGTCGATTTCTTTGTTTGAACTGTATCAAAACGTTGTATGATACCTTCTTTATCTCAATGGCCAATGCTAATTAACTATCTTTTTGGCATATAACAATGTGTATGCGCATAGGTATATTATGAGTTTTCTTTTGTCTAAATAGTTCAGGCGAATTTGCTCGATCAAGTGCATCGGCCAAAAGATTAAATCGACTTTTCAAACGTAAACCAGTAATTGACAATGGATCAACGGAAGGCAAAAAAATTGTGAGACTCTTTGAGGTAAAAATTGGAGTTCTTCCTTTTTTCTTGAATTCATAGGACAATTTTTCTGGATCGATCGAGTTTGAGAACATTATATTTGCATATCCAACGCGCAAGTCGATAATCGTACTGGATAAATTTCATTTAGCAATAAAATCCGGTTTGTCAGCTTTTTTCCATACTCTTCAATTGTCGAATATTATTTTTCTTTTAGGACAAAGTGTTGCACTTGTTGGTAAGACA